AAGCGACGACTCCTGCGGCAATTCCGACGACCACTGCGACGACGACACCGACGGCGACGTTGTCGACGACTCCGATGACGAATGCGACTCCGACGAAGACACCGACACCGACCACGACGCCGACGTCTTCGAAGACGACGAAGACGAAGACGACGAGTGATCGTCGGAGTCGTCGTCGTCGTCGACGTCGTTATCATCGTGGTCGTTGTTTGTCGTCGGATTCGTCGTCGTTGCCAGAAAGGGAGTCGCGGTCGTCAGAGTCGTCGGAGGCATTCGAGTCGTAGTCGTCGTCGTCATTGGAGTCGTCCGATTGAGCCAGAGTGAACAGTGGGAAAACGACCCCAACCCCCACAACTTTGGATTTTACATGTCAGCGTTTTGCATTTACGGCGAATGAACGTAAGTGTAGGCGCCCTGTCGGCGAGACCATTGCCAGCTGCCGCAGGGGGGCCCCCCGCGCGCGGCGACGTCCTGGGCCCGCTCGACGCGGCCGCGCCCGCGCCGGCATTCCCAGGGCGGCGCGTGCCACGGCCGCGGCTCGCAGTTTGAGGCGACGGCGGCGGTGTCCCTCGCGCAGCAGCGCCGCTGGCCCAGCCGAGGGCCCCCGCGCCCGTCTCCGTCGCCCCCTCCTGACCCCGCCGACGGAAGAAATTTAGATCGGGAGCGTTTCTCTTAAGCCAACTGGTCCAATATATTTGTTGCGCTTCTATAATCGCGTTTTCTGCTTATATAAAACTTGTCGGGACCGTCCCGCGCGAGACTTTCTGCTTCGGACAAGTTTGGATTGATTTTTAATGGAGTTTATACCAGCTTTTTTCGCCTGGTGCCTAAACTTTGGATCTAAACTATTCGATGCGCGCCCGTGCGGGGCGGGCCCCGGGCCCCGCCTTGGGCTCTTGCCAGCGCCGCGAAGGGCCGACGCGCCCACTAGTTTTTGCCCGAGCGCGCGAATGTCCACAATGATTTTGGGCATCGGCCGCGTGCCAGCGCTAGGAAACGCCAAGTTCAAACGCCAATGAGCATGGCAGCAGCGCGCCGTTCGCGTTGACTGTCGCGGCGTTGTCGTTGGCTGACCGTCGAGCAGTTTCCGCTTTCAGTTCGCGCGTCGTTTGACGGTCCCATTGGCCCATTGGTCTAAGTCAAGTTCCTCATGTGGGGGGCGGGGGGCGTTTTTCATGTGCTCACAGAGTCGCGGTTGTCGCGGTCGTCGTCGTCGCCCTCGCCCTCGTCGTCGACGGTGTCGCCATCGTCGGCGGAGCCGTCGTCATCGGAGGCGCGTTTGTCGAAGTCGTCGCCTTTGGAGTCGGAGTCGCCTTTGTAAGTGTCAGAGCCGTCGTCGTCGTAGCCGTCGTCGTCGGAGTCGTTAAAGTTCTTGGAGTTAGATCGCCGTCGCCGTCGGAGTCAGATCGGTCGGTGTCGCCGTCGTCGTCGGCGTCGTCGTCGGCGGAGTCGTCGGCGTCGTCGCCAGAGTCGTCGGCGACGTCGTTGTCGACGTCGCCAGCCTGCTCGGAATCCAAATCGTCGTCGGAGTTGTGATTGGCGTTGTCTCATCGTTGCCACAGCTGGAGTCGAAATCGTCGGAGCAGCCGTCGTCGCCATCGGAATCCGAGTCGCCATCGTCGGAGACGACGTTTTTGGAGTCGGCGTCATGGTCGAAGTCGTCGCCGTCGTCGTCGCCGTCGATGTCGGAGTCGGAGCCTTCGGCGGAATTTTCGGAGTCTCCATCGGAGCCCCTCGTCGTCGCCGTCGTCGGAAACGTCGGCCGCAGTGGGGACGCCCTCGTGACAACCCACGCCCATGTCGGCACAACCATCACGCGGATCGTGCCCCATGTGGAGCTTTGTCTGCGGCCCCAATGGTGACGTCTGCACACCGCGGGTCCACGCCGCCGCGGTCGGCGTCGTCGTCGCGGGGGGCCGCTGAAGGACGGCACCTCTGTGGCAAATATCGTCATGGCGAGGCATGGCTTCGTTATGAAAAATCTTGCCTTCATGATTGCTTCATCATGATTTGTTTTGGCTTCACTACTCTGGGTTTCTTAGTCAGCGCGGGGGGGTGCCCCCACGACGGGGGACAACCTCGCCTCGTCGTCGCGCCGCGACGGGGGTTGGAGCGCCTTCGGCGCGCGGTGGCTGCCCGCGACGGGGGTCGGTGTGGGGCTGTCGGCGGGCGTGGCGCCCCCCGACACTTATTAAGCAATTCGGAGTAAGGTAAATCTCGCCACATCAAATCACTAGAATGTTCATATGTCTTGTTGATGGGGTGGTACACAGGGCGGGGTTATCATCACCATGAGTAGGGGGGTGACCCTATAAGAGTTGAGTCCTAGGTGCCGAGTGCTCGTGGGCTGGGTGCCGAAAAGCGTGGGCAGACTTTCGGACCCTCTGATACTTGAGTGCAAGTCCCGACCGTCGGGCTTTCCTGCAAGCCCCGGCCGCCAGATTTGTCAGTTCACATGCGGCGCTGAGTGTTTTATCTTTTCCAACGGGGTGTCCCCTAGACACGGTAGCTCACGCCGCCATTGTTTCAATATTCCTGGAGGTTGAGCGGCAACGCCCCTCCTGGAATGGGTTGCAATGTAGTTGGTACTCTAGACTAGCAATCCCACTCCCTGGGATGGTGGCGATGCACCTGTGGCTCAAGTTCTGGCATCGCGCTGGAAAGTGATCACGGACAGGGCGCGTAGTGAGCCTCAGCGGCAACGCCTGCTCATCACGCGCTTGTCCATATCAATCGGCTCCCTTCTGAGGCGCCGCCTCGGCCTCCCGCTAAATATTCCCTGGGTTACAAAGCGCTCAACCGATCAGGCCAGCCCTGGTGTTTTATCTATTTGAGCGCATGCCGGAGGGTATTGGACTACCAGAGTTGTTGAAGCTATTCGAAGCCATCGATCGCCAGTATACGGAATTGTTATCCAGAGTTTGAACGGGCTTGCGAACCATGTGCTGCTTATGGCTAAAGATTTAGGCACGCGCGCGGCAGCGCGCGCATGTTCACCGCATGGTACTCTAGTCGCAAAGGATTATTGTATGAAGCAGCTCTTAGATCAGAGCATACGCACTGCGTAGTATCATCTGACAGCGGTGAAGGGGGGTGGGGACGGCACTGTGGTTGGCTGGCTTGCCAATTTAGTTCTTGAAATGTAGGGTTCATGCTGTTCGTGGCGATGATGATGCCTCGCATCAGGCAGAACCCCAGCGGACTCGCCCAGCGCACGGGGCGCCGACGATGGGCCCACGTTGGGGCCACCAACTGGGCGCCAGGCGAAACGCGCGCGGACCCACCGAAGCCACGGGGCGGTCGCGACTGGCCACCGGCCCGACACCAGTCGAAACCTCGACGGACCCGTCCGAAGGAAGGCACTCTAAGTGCAACCACTCCTTGGGGAATTTTCACTTGCAGCGAAGCTCTCGCCTGGATGGCAAGCGCACTCGACTTTTCAGGGGGCGCGTCCCGTAGTGGACATGGGTACTTGTAGGAACTAAGGGGGGGGGAATCGTGCAAGGAGGGTTATTGCAGCATCCTTAATGCATCTTGGGTTTTATTTGGTCCTCCTCCTCCCTCCTCCTTTCTGGCTCCTCCTTCTGGTGCTCTTTACCGTGCTGCTGCTGCTCCTCCTCCTCCTCATCCTCCTCCTTCGCCCGCTTCCCTTTCCCTTCACCCCCTTCAACTTCTTCGTGTACACCTTCTCTCCTCCTTCCCTTCTACTGCTGCGGCTTTCCCTCCTCCTGCCGCTAGCAGGAGGGGGAGGAGGAGGAGGAGGAGGAGGAGGAGGAAGAAGAACAGCAGCAGCTAGTCGCCCTTCTCCCCATCCTTCCCTTCTGCCTGTTCCACTCTCCCCCTTTCCCTCCCCGTCCCCCTGCCGTCCCACTGTCCGCCTGCGCAACCCCCCCTTCCCTCACGCCTCTTCTCCACGCCCGTCCTCCCTTCGCACTCCACCCCCTACATCACCCTTTCGCCCTGCCTCCCTTCCCTCTTCTGCCCCACCTCCTGCGCCCTCTCCCCCATCCACTCCTCTGGCCGCATCCTCCCTTCCCCCTGCGCCCTCATTTTCTTTCTTTCACCATCCTTCCCTCTTCCGTCCCACCTCCCCATGCCCTCCTCCTGCCCCCTCCACCATCCACTCATGTGGCCGCATCCTCCCGTTCCCCCTACGCCCTCCGCTTCTTTCTTTCGTCATGATCTCTTTTATAGTCCGCCGCGTTGCTACTGCCGCTGCCGCTGCCTTTGCCACTGGAGCGACTGCCGTCACCGCCGCTGGTGTTGCTGCCGACCTTGCGGGTGATGTTTATGTTGGGGTTGGTTACAATGGTGAGCATGCTCAATTCAGTTGCTGTCGGCGGTTGGGCGTAATCCTCGTACTGGTGTTGCCTTTCGTGCTCTAGATCCTGTTCCTGCTTCACTGCATCATCATCGTTCTCTTCGGACCCGCCTCTCTTTTCTCGTTTTTGTTCGTCTACGTCCATGAGCCTTCCTCCCCGCCTCCCTCCTCCAGGCCTTGCTCTTGCCACTGTTACTGCATGTCGCACTCGGCTGCCATTGGTCCCCCTTCCCCTCTCCCTCATCATCTTTACCACCCTCCCTTCCTCCCTCCTCGCTTCCCTCCAAGAGAGGAACGAGGTGAGAGAGAGAGAGAGAGAGGAGCGGGAAAGAGCCTCACTCCCTGGCCCTTACCTCCTCCCCGCCGAAGCCGGGGTGGGAGACCTGGGCACATGCGGCGGCCTGCGGCACTGCAGGTACCACCTCAGGACGGAGGCGGCCCTTGCCGCGGGCGTCCTCGCGAACTTTGTGCTGATCAACCTGATGGCGGACTTCACCGCCCAGGCTCTCCTCCACCTCCTCCCTCCGCCTGCTCCTCCTCCTTTTCCCCCTCCTCCTCCTGAGATGGCCCTGGCCCACCACTCATGACGCTCCAGCCTCTTCCTCTTCCTCCTCCTCCCTCCTCCTCCTTCCTGCTCACCTTCCTTATTGTCTTTCAGGGTCACCCGCCGCCAGCCTGGATGGACGCGCTGAACTGGGCGTTCCTGTCCGCCACTTCGGGGGAGATGTTGCTGCGGTGCTACGTAGAACGCTCGCGAGCCTTCCGGAGCGGCTGGCACTGCATGGATGCCGTCGTGCTGTGCTTGTCCATTGCCGCCGAGGCGGCTGTTCTCCTGATAGGGTCGGGCCTGCTGCTGGCGAGCGTGTTCCGCGTCCTCCGCGTGAGCAGGCTGCTGAGGTTCCTGCACACGTTGGAGAGGCTGAGCTTCTTCAGGCAGCTGAGGAAGCTGATCCAGATGTTTGCAAGCTGCCTCCAGACGCTGTTCTGGTCGTTCTGCCTCACGCTCCTCGTCATGACCATGTGGGCCAACGTGGCCGTGGTGCTGCTGCACCCGCTGGTCGCGGAGCTGCAGAGCCAGGGCGCGTGGCCCGACTGCCAGAGCTGCGGGCGCTCCTTCGCCTCCGTCATGCGGGCGAACCTGACCCTCTTCCAGATCATCGTCGCCTCGGATAGCTGGGGCGAGGTGGCCACTCCCCGTCCTCAGAGGGGGAGGAGGAGGAGGAGGAGGAGGAGGAGGAGGAGGAGGAGGAGGAGGAGGAGGAGGAGGACCTGTGCAAGCCCAAGACTCACCAACGAAGTTGCAATAAACCCAAGCTCCAAGTTCCCTCTTCATAGGCCCCTGCGAGGGTTCAATTTCGTTGGGGGACGTGTCCCGTTGGAAGACAGCTGTTTGGCAATCGGGAGGTGTGCCACACCATCCCTGGGAATGCAAGGCGGCAGTCACCATTACATTTGCGTCTTGACGGTCCTGCACCGTGCCAGACCGCCATCTTTGGGATTGGGACTTCAACACCGCGAAGCAACGCGGCTGCTGCGCCCTGTCTGACATCGTGCCAAAACGCACTGTGTGCGGAGTTAACCATGGTAGTCCTTGAACATGCTGCGGATTCTTGAGACACGTGTTCGCGGCGCTAAGGCGAGAGCCACATTTTGAGAAGGAGCTGCCCTCCGTCCGTGAAACTGTTGCACAAACCCTTAAGACGAGTGTGCGCGACTCTAAGGCGAGAGCCACATTTTGAAAGCGGGCCGCCCTCCATCCGAGAAGCTTCTGAAAGTCCACAAAAGATAGAATGTGCGCGGCGCTGGCGCGAGAGCAACATTTTGGAAACAGCCCGCCCTCCATCCGTCAAACCGTTGCAAAGTCATTTTGGAAAGGAAGCGCCCTCAATCCGCGAAGCCGTAGGCGAACGTGCGCGGCGCTCAGGCGACAACCACATTTTGAAAAGAAACCGCCCTCAACCTGTGAGACCACTGCAAATGTTTAAAGCGAATGTTGTAAGTTGCAGGATCATGCGTGGTGAGGAAGTCTTAAGCGAAACGCCAGGGTCGCCCTTTCGACCGGCCTCGGGGTGCGACAGGGAGGAGTTATTCACTGCACGAACGAAATGGGTACGGAAAGAATGGGTACAATGCCCAACGGCAGTTCCTGTTCATTTTGAACAGGACTCGCTGTCCACGCCGCCGCGGCCTGTGTCCATTCGAGACAGAAGGCCGCGTGCCCAACAGCGGCCGCTGTTGGTTTGGGACAACATTTGTTGTTGGGCATTGTGCCAATTTTTTCCGTACCCATTTCGGGCGTCCAAATATTCAATCGCTTCGCTCAGTCCGCCGGCCCATTTTGCGCGCCTTGGAAGCCCTTTGGGGCGTCCTGGTCGGTTCGTGTTCCTCCTCTTGGGCCCGTCTTGGGGTTGTTGGTGACTCTCTCTTGGGCTGTCTTGGGCGCCTCTTGGGCCGTTTTCGGGGCCGTCTCGAGATGTCCTGGGGCTTTTTTTAATGCCTCTTGGACGGTCTTGGGGGCCCCTGGGGCCGTCTTGGAGTTTCGGATGCTCGAAAAGGTGGTATCCCGAAAAACTTTGAAGACCACACTCGGAATCACTGGAGTTTGTCTCTGTGGGCCCTCTTGGGGAACCTCTTGGAGCGCTCTTGGGGCTTCTTTGGGGCCTCTTCGGCTGTTTTGGAAGCGGTTTCGGCCATCTTTGCGGCTTTGGTGGCCTCCCAGGTCCATCTTGGAAGCCATCTTGCGCATCTGGGGCGCATCTTGGGCGCATTGAAGAGCGCCTGGAACCCATCTCACCGTTGTGCGTGTGTTGTGGGTGAGAATCGTCAGGGATGCTCGTGGCGAGCGGGAAGGAAGAGGAGAACGAGGAGGAGGAGGAGGAGGAGGAGAAGGAGGAGGATGAGGAGGCCTCTCGATCGCTTCTTGGGGCATTTTGGGGCCAAGCTTGATCGTGAACAAAACGCCTGTTTGGGAGGCTGCTTGGGGTCTCTTCGGAGGCCTCTCGGGGGCCTCTTGGCGTTATTTTTTGACCTCCTGGGGCCTCCTGGGGGCCTCTTGGGGGCCTCCTGGGGCCTCTTGCGAGCCTCTTGGGGGCTTCTTAAGTCCTTCTGAGGGCCTCTCGAGGCCGAGAGCTGAAATGTCCGTTCGGTTGCCTCCTCAGGGCCCGCTCTTGGAGTGGGCCGTCTGGAGGGCTCTTGGGCTGTCTTCGGGCCCTCTGGCGCCGTTTTGGGGCCCTCGTGGAGGCGTCTTGGACCGTATTGGGGCGATCTTGGGGGCCTCTTGGGCCGTCTTGGAGCGCGGGTAAGGCGAAAAGACGAGAACGCTAAAAATTCTGAAACAACAAAGGATATCCATTACTGTTTGCTTCTGGGGGCCCTCTTGGTGGCCTGTTGGGGCGTTTGAAAAGCGTCTGGGACCGATCGTTCGACGACTAGGAGCCCTCTTGGACCGTCTTGGGGGCCTTTTTGGGCCCTCCTGGAGCGCTATGGAGGGCCTGCAGGGCGGCGCCCAGAAGGAAAACCATCTTTGATCCGAAGCTGCCAGGGTATTTTTCGTCCGGGGATAGCACGCCTCTGGCTCGAATCGCCCGGGCCGCCCTTTCGACCGGCCTCGGGGTTTGGCAGGGAGGAGTTATTTTCCAGGAGAGTTAATGGCGGACGGGGGGTAGCAGGGAGGAGAATCAGGAGGAGGAGAAGGAGGAGAAGAAGATGGGACGTTGAGTAGAAGGAGGGGGGGGGCAGGAAGAGAAGGAAGAGTAGGAGGGAGGTGCTTGGAGGAGGAGTGGCAGGAGCAGGAGGATGACCGCGGCGAGGTTGCCGTCCCTCTCATTGAGACGCACCCGTGGACAGCCGTGGTCTTCGTGGGTGCGCTCTGGACGCTCATCTTCGGCATGCTGAACCTCATGGTGGCCGTCGTTGTCGATACGTTCGCAGAGGCCAGGGAGAACGACCTGAAGGACCGGTCCCGGGAGCTGGCGCAGCTGGAGGCGAGGGAGAGGGAGGCTCTGGACCGCATCTTCCGAAGGATCGACCAGGCCCGCGGCGGCAGAACTGCTCGGCCCTCGGAAGGAGGGAGGAGGAGGGAGCGAGGGAGCGAGGGAATGGAAGGAGAAGGAGGGACGGAGGATGGATGGAGGAGGGACGGAGGAGGAGGAGGAGGAGGAGGAGGAGGAGGAGCAGGAGCAGGAGCAGGAGCAGGAAGAGAAGGAGGGAGGAAGAGAGGAGAGAAGATGACGACGAGGAGAAGGAGTGACGGAGAAGGAGGAGGGAGGAGGGCGAGGAGGAGGAGACGAAGGAGGCACTAGCCTTCCTCTCTGCCCGCCCGTGTCCCCACTCCCTTTCCTTCCTCCCTCCCTCCTCCTCTTCCTCCCCTCCCTGCCTTCTTTCCTTTCCTCCCTCTCTTCCCTCCCTCCCGCCTCACCTTCGGCCCCCTCTCCTGCGCGGAGGGGGTGGCAATTGGAAGCAACGCCCGCTTCCCCTCTCCCCTCTTCCCCCTCCCCCCGCCCGCTTCCCTCCCCCCGCCCACTTCCCTCCCATCGGCCACCCCCTCACACCCCCTGCAGGACCAGGACCACTCTGATCCCTGCACGGCGGAATCTGCGCGTCAGCGTCAATATTGTTGAGGGTCTTCTTTCATTTTCCAGCCATGGGCGACATGACATCTTGATGGCGAAACTGCCAGCACAATGCGAGCAACATATTCTGTTCACCGCCTCCACCCTGGATGACTCGGTACTTAGTATGACGTAAGAGATACTCGTATGTTCTGGTAGATCTGTCTTACTACATGTGTATCTCTATACAGGCATATGTACATATTCCTATTCGGATATTCTTATAGCGGACCCCCCTCCCTGACCCCCCCCCGTACATAGATTCGGCCCTGGGCGCTCCCACCGACGTCAAATTGGAATTTCGGTTTCGGGAGCCTCTCCGAGCCATCCCCAGACCCGCAAAGCCCCAAGGTGGCCCAAGACCACTCCAGAACGGCTCATGAGCGCTCGAAGAGGCCGCAAGGTCGCCTCAAGACGGCCCGAGATGCTCTCAAGACGCCCCAAGAGGCCGCCAAGAAGACCCCCAAGAGGTCAAACTCGCCCCATTCCTTTCGGAAAACATATACTTTTAGCATATCCGCTTCTTTGGCCTTCACCGCGTTCAAAACGGCCCAAGACCCCAAGGGAGCCCCAAGACAGCCCAAAAGGGTTCCAAAACGACCCAAGAGAGCTCCAAGACGGCCCCAAACAGCACCAAAAGGCTTCCCAGAGAGCCCCAAGAGGCCTCCAAGACGGCCCACCCCCCCCAGGACGGCCCAAGAGGGTCCCGGGACGGCCCAGGAGGGCCGCCAGACAGCCCCAAAAAACACCAAAAGGAACCCCACGAGAGCCCCGAGAGGCCATACCCCTATTAGCCATATGAGGCCTGTTGGCCCCGCAAGCCCTACGACCACTATGGTGCCCCATGGTGCCCCATGAGCCCTGTGAGGCCTGGGAGCCGTAATACCTCCAGAGCTCTCACCCCCACACGCCGCGACACCCTTAAGGGCCCCCCAACTCATAATCCAGATCACGGGTGTGCCACCATAATTAACGGTGAAGCGGCATGCACACGTTGGCTCTTCACCGTCGGTGGAGCGGTGAGGCGGCATGCACACGTTGGCTCTTCACCGTCGGTGGAGTTTCCTGCATGTGGGGTGCGGTCCATGTGAGGGGACATTGACGTAGCGTTCTGCGGATCCTTCCAGGAAGACGGATCACAAGGGCCCCATGAGGGCCACGAGACGTCCGAAGGTGCCCCACTGCGAATCCTCTGCTCAGAGCCGCAAGTGAAGCCCGCTCTCCTGGGGGAGAGGCACAGAAGGAGAGGAGAAGGAGCAAGGAGGTCGAAGCAGGGAAAGAGGAAGAGGCTGGACGAGAATAAGGAAAATCCACCATCCAAACCCGACGATACAGTTCTCGACGTTTCTGCCTTTCGGGGCCGTTTTCGGACCACCCGTCCAAAGTCGATCTGGCATCGGGGACCAGTTCTGAGCCGATGTTGGTAGTCCACGACAGCAGCCAACGAACAGCAATCATTCATTCTAGTGAGCTCGTTGCTGCTACTTCATGCGCCGCAGCGCCATCTCCCTTCATCCCCATCGACGACGCCTCTGACCTTCCCTCCCTATGTCTTTCGTGACCTCTCCTGCCCTTTGTGTCTCTCCCTGCCTCCTTCGCCCCTGCTCTCCACATCCCACTCCTGCAACCTCTTCCTTGTCTCCATTTTGGCTCCAGGCGCCTTCGTCTCCCGCTTGACAGCGCTTCCTGTCTCCGCCGCCCCACGGCGGAACAGCGGAAGCACCGAGCCACCGCTCCTACCCAGGATGTCCCCTTCGACGATTCCATCTTCACGGCGTCTCTGGCTGGCCTTTCCCGCGCTGCGCGGGGAACTCGGCCTGCCCTTTCGCGGCAACCGCGCCGCCCTCCTCGGTCGATTGGTCCTGTGGCGGGCGCCCTCGGCTGCCGAGGGGGCCCTTTTTGGGCCCGTCTTTCGCCTTACTGAGATCCACCGCCTGCGGGCGGAGGTCGCCCAGCTACAAGCGACGCTCGACGCCGACGCCGACGAAGACCGAGCTCCTCTGGCAGCCCGTGCCGCCGGCGACCCTGTGGCACCCCGGCCACATCCGGCACCGAGCGCCGCGCCCGGGGCAGACCACAACGGCGACGGCCTCTCAAGCGAACGCGCTTCCTGGCAGCCCCCTGCCGCGTTCGTGGACTTCGCCGCGTCTCTGTCCGCGGACGCTGCGCCCCCTGCCCCCGCGCGGTCGCGCATCTCCGAGCGCGCAGACGTCGAGACACTTCTTTACGCAGAGACTGTTCTGACCTCCGCACTGGAGCACGACGCCGACATTTTCGGATGTATTACGCTCATGCACGTGGCGCCTCGGCGCCGCGCGGTGCTCGCCTTCGCGAAATGGGTCTCCTCCCGCGCCGCCGCCTTCGCGACGCAGGACGCCGCGGACGTGGTTCACCACTTAAGCACTTGAGTCAGCGTTTCAAGCCGGGGGAGTCGCGGTTCGATGCCCGCCGCCCTGTCGGCGGGTTGGCCGCGCTGCAGGAGCTCGTCAACGATGGCGCCAGCATGGTTGCCGTGCGCCATTTCGTGGACAAGTTCACCGCGACGCCGCCTGCCGCCTGGGGCCCCAGTGTCCTCCGCGAACTGCTGGAGTCGCGGATACCGAAATTCATGCACCTCCACGCTGGGTGCAAATACCTTCGGGGGCACACGGTTCGACAGCTTTTCCTCCGCGCGTTCCGCCGCGACGGCCGCTGCACGTGGGGGAGCCGGAGTGGGGCGTCATCGGCGAGCTCCTCCCGGGGGCCGCCGACGGCCCCGCCGGTCGGTATCGTCGGGCACGACGACGCAGTCCGAGCGATCACCTACGTCAATTCCACTTTCCGCGAGGTCCCGCCGCTGACGCTGGCCGACCTCATCATGGCCCTCTGTTTGCGCCCTCGGGCGCCGCGGCCTCACATCGACCGCCCTGTCCCCTTGGAGTTTCCCGAGTAGCTTACCCAACTGGTCCTCCCCTCTGCCGCTCTCACCAAAAACCTACCCCATCTTCCCCGTCGTCCTCCCCCTCGCCCTCCCCCCCCCGAACCTGCAACGGCAGTGCTCCGCCGGCCAGCGGCGCCAGACGAAGGGGCGGCGGGAGTGTAGGAGGAGGAGGAGGAGGCGGATGGGGAAGACGGAAAGGAGCATGGCGAGGAGGATGGGCCCTATGAGCCCCATGAGCCTTATTGGTCCTATAAGCCCTATGAGCCCTGTGAGCCCTGTGAGCCCTATGGGCCCCATGAGCCCTATGAGCCCTATGGGCCCTAGGAGCTTCACGCGCCCTACGAGCCCTATGTGTCCATTGAGCCCTGTGAGCCCCACGCTCCCCATGAGCCGTATGAGCCCCATGAGCCCTATGAATATCATGAACCCTACTATCCTTATGAGCCTTATGAGCCCTATGAGCCTATGACCCCTATAACCCTTATGGGCCCTGTAAGCCCTACGAGCCCTACGAGCCCTTTGAGCTATACGAGCCCCATGGCCCCCATGAGCCTTATGAGCCCTATGAGCCCTATGAACCCTATGAGCCATATGAGCCCTACGGGCCCTATGGGCCCTATGAACCCTATGGGCCCCATGAGCCCTATGAGCCCAGTGAGCCCTATGAGCCCTATGATCCTTATGGGCCCTAAGAGCCTTACGGGCCCTATGGGCCCTATGAGTGTAATGAGCCCTGTGAGCCCTACGACCCCCATGAGCCGCATGCGCCCTATGAGCCCTAGGGGCCCTATGAGCCCTACGAGCCCTTTGAGGCCATCGGGCCCTACGAGCCCCATGAGCCTTACGAGCGCTATGAGCCCCATGAGCCCCATGAACCCTATCAGCCCTATCAGCCCTATCAGCCCTATGACCCCTATGACCTCTATGACCCTCATTGGTCCGACACGCCCTATGATCTCTATAAGCTATACGAGCCCCATGGCCCCCATGAGCCCTATAAGTCCAATGAGCCGTATGAGCACTATGAGCCCTATGAGCCTATGAGCCTATGAGCCATGTGGGCTCCCTGGGCCCGACGAGCCCTATGAGTCCATTGATTCCGTGAGCCCTACCGGCACAATGAGCTGCATGAACCCCGTGAGTCCTACGAGCCTGATGGGCCGTATGAGCCCTATGACCCCTACGATCCATGTAAGCCCTGTGAGCCCCACGAGCCCTATGAGTTCACGAGCCCCATGGCCTCCATGAGCCTTATGAGCCTTGTGAGCCTTATGAGCCCTATGAGCCCTGTGAGCCCTACGGGCCCGATGGGCCTTGTGAGCCCTATGGGCATCATGAGCCCCATGAGCCCTATGAGCCTTATGTGCCCGATGAGCTCCTCTATGAGGCCTACGGGCCCTATGGGCCCCCTGGTCCCAAAGAGCCCTGTGAGCCCTACGACCCGCATGAGCTGCATGAGCCCCATGAGCCTTATGAGCCCTATGAGCCCCATGAGCCCTACGGCCCTGTGAGTCCTAGGGGCCCTATGGGCCCTACGATCCCCATGAGCCCAGTGACCTTCACGAACCTCGTGGACCCCATGAGACCCATGCGCACCAAAAGACCCCAGAGCCCCGCGCGCACTCCGCAGCCTGCATGGCTCAAGCTATGAGCACTGCTCCCAGCTCCGCGCCCCACCAGCCAGACGGCGCGGAAAGCCAACAGCGGCTACGCTGACATCTTCCATCTGCGGCGTCGCCAAAACTCACTCCGACTTCGCCAGCAGGAGACTGCACACCGGAGATCTGAAGTGCCGAGAGCGCGCCGCTCAAACCCAACTGCCGCCCCCCCCACCGCTCACGTGCTCCAGCTGCGGCATTGCGAAGCCAAGAGATGCTTTCTCCAACACTCAACGAGCTGCGCCTGCACGCGCGCGGAAATGCCAGACGTGCACGACACCGGCTTCCACACTCACTTGTGCACGATGCGGCGAAGCAAAACCCAGGGGAGACTTCACCACCAACCAGCTTCACAAGCGAGAACGCCTCTGCCGTGAGTGCGCTACACCAGCGGGCCCGTCCAGTGGGCGTCCTCGCGCCAGCAAGCTCTGCCGCCTGGGCTCCATGGACCACGCGTGCGAGCACTGTGGCGCCGTGCTTTTCCGTATGAGCATCCTATGGCCCCCATCACCTTTGTAGAAGTCACTCAGCATTCTGAGCCCCGTGCCCGATATGCACAAACAGTCCCAGGACCCCAACGTACACCATGAGCCCTGCGAGCCCTGTGAGTCTCATGACCCCCTGGAGCCGCATCGGCAGCATTACACCCCTCGCCTAAAGCGGGGCTCCGCCTAAAACGGGGGCTCCGAGCCCCTGGGCCCCATGACGGCAGAGACCCCTTCTGAGCTCTCTGAGCCGCAACATTCCCTGGGTCCTATCAGCCCTGTTTGCTCCATGGTCTTCATGGCCAGAACACACCGCGGCTGTGACGACAACCGATCTCATCGCGCCTCCTTGGCGCCATGCGACCAAGATTGTCAAGGCGAAGCGCAGCGAGCCGGTAAAATCTCGTGTATATAGATGTATAGCGACAGGGCAACTCTGAAGCGCATTGAATAGAACTGGCCAGACCCAATTGACCGAACATCTGTGCATTCTCGAACTGGTTGGGCATCAGGCACGCATGAAGCAACACCCGCCAGAGCATCAAGCACAAGGTTCGTCTACGGGCTCTGTGCCGTCGGCTAACACGTTGATGCCTTTTGCTCTCCGCTTCCGCGCAGGCCCAAACGTAGAATCGCACGTACGCCTATGCTGAAAATACGTAGCATACTGCAAAATTAACTGTTGGGGTTCCGAGGCCTTGGTTAAAGTGCTAAAGTGTTCGATTCCATCGCAATTCCGTGGCCTAGCTGAGGGCACCCGGGAAACACACCGATCTCGATATGCCTTCATACTCAAAAAGGGTATCTTCTTCTCCTTACCTAATAGCGCACAGTTCTTAATACGACTACAAACTATAACAGTTCCTGCTATCAGTTACGATGCGGCCAGGCACTGTGCAAACAACCTGATCGTTAGACATGCCTGGCACTCATACACCAAGGAACTCTGCTACCATCAGTTGAGCGGCCGCCTGGCAGCCCTCAGCGTTCGCCATCGCCTGAGCTTCTGCCGCCTGCGCACTCCGACAATTCTGAGCGATCTTGTGATATCCCCACTCCATGATGGAAGCCTTGCACTCGGCCCCAGTCATGATCTCAACGGGCAGCTCCAATCACATAGCAACTCGTATTGTTGCCATTTGGGCGATTCGATTGTGAAGCGTTCTTCCAGCAAACTGCGCATACGTTCGAGCTTCGATGGGATTAGATGAGCAAGCAGCGATCTGCATTCGCTTAGACTTTTCTGAGAAGGTGTTTGAAATCGGCCAAGTCTGCCACAGGAGCGGTAGGGGCTTGTCGATTGCAGCCGTCCACTTTGAGCCGGGCATTCGGGCCCCGTCTTTCGATTCTGATTCTGATTTCGCCCACTCTCCACGCACCGTCGCGCTGGACGTTCTGATTCTGCTTGGATCCACCCGTCGGCGCTGGGACAACTTGCGCTGGAGCTGGTCAGTGGCCACCCGCGCGCTGCGGCCACGATGGCCAGGGCGCCACGCTGCCCCTCGTCTCCTCTCCTCTCCTCCTCCTCCTCCTCCTCCTCCTCCTCCTCCTCTTCCTCCTCCTCCTCCTTGTCCTCCCTCTCTCGCCTCCTTCCTCTCCCAATGAACGCACGACTGGTTTCGCGCAGCACGGCGTGCGGAACGAAGCGACAGATCCGCGCAGCCCGCGCGCGCTGTTCCGCGAACGTGGCCAGAACCTCCCGGCTTTGTTTTCTGCATCATTTTGAGTCCCGGCCGCGCGGCAGATGGCGCACACTGTCGGAGTCAAAATTGTGCAGCCGAGCTCGGGGCGAAAATTCGTGCAGTTCTTCCCCGTGCCGACGCCAACCCTCTCCCTCCTCCCCTCCTCCCCCCTCCCTCCTCCAGATCGGGGTGCCGCGCTGGGCCCAGGCTGGTTCGGCGCGTTGCGGCCGAGGGCCACGACGAGAGTTTGCAGACCATCTCCTGGGGCGGAAATTTGGGCGGTTGCTCCTTGTGCACTCGTCTTTCGCACGCTGCGGGGGGCGATGTTGCGAACAAGTCGTGCAGTCGCGCTGTTGCCCAGTTCTGGGGGGTGCCAGCCCGTCGATCTGTTTCCCGCCAGATGCTAGGAGAACAGCCTGTGCAGGCAGACGTGTGCACCCATAGTGCGGTGACGTTGACTCGGCCGGCGCGGTCCGGTAGTTGGCCGACGAGGCGCCTGTTCTAGTAGTCAGCGGCACAGGCGCATGTTCCACGTGGTGGCGCCCACCTGCAACAGCCTGGCCTGGCACCTGCTGTCGAAATATGCAGTAGACGGCAAGCCGCCACGCATTCCGACGCGATGTGGTGCAAACTATCGCGCCCCCCGTCCCGGCCGCGTGGCCGATGGGCTGGGGGACATGCTGCGCCGAGCAGCCGATCGGTGCTGCCCTTGTCCCTCGTCTCTTTTTCTTCCCGCTCTCGCCTCCTGGAGGCGGAGCGCCGGCTAGCCTTGCTGGGGTGGGCCTGTTCTCCACCTCCTCTGCCTGTCATGCAGCAAGAGCAGTCCGCTGTTAGTATGGCTGTGTAGGTCGACAGTTTACCCCTTCCGCTTCCCTCCCTCCTTCCCTCCTCCTCGCCGTGCCGCCGCCGCCGATTTCCAGCTTCATTGTTTGTGGCATGGCCCGCGTTCAGAAGACGCGATGTTTTTCGGCATCTTTAATGGGCGGTTGCCCATTGACACTGGTTCGGTTTCGGCTTCATACATGACCGCTTGGGCCATATGGGGTGATCCACACAGCGCTCTTGCCCCTTCGCCTCGTCCTCCCACTCGCTCCTCCCTCCCCCCTCTCTCTCCCTCTCTGCGAAGGGGCAGCTCTTCTTGCGCTAGAGTGTCCGGGATCCGGCTGTGGGTAGTCCGTAATTCGTAGATAGCACCTCGTGGTGGAGAGTATATATGTTTATGCCTTTGTACATGTATGGGTATAGGTATGTGTTTGTGTACATGTATATGCGTATGTAGACGCGTAATTACATATATATATATATATATATATATATATATATATATTCATATACTTACATTGATATTCAAGTGGATATGTAGATGTAGCTGTATATGTAACTGTGCATGCACATGTGTATGTGTATGTATATGTATATGTATATGTATATGTATATGCACACCGCTACGCATGTAACATTAAATGCCTGTATATACACATATGAGTTTCACTACACACATATGTATACATCTGCGAGTACTGGTACAAGTGTATATGGTCCCGCCGTCGGAAAAGCGGCCCTATGGCGCAATCAAGAGCAAGCATTACTACAAGGCCAAGCGCATCTTCAGGGAGACTGCATAGGATGGTAGGGCAACTCTGGTGAACACACAGTGAAGGACATGCAGCGGAGATTCCCCTCACCCTTCCTTTCGAGGAACGCTTGTTTCACGACGTGGCCCGATATCCCATCCCACAAACAAGTGGTTTCGCATTGCGCCGCTCCTCCCACCCGACTGGTTGGGTTCGTTTTCGTTAGACGCTGAGCAGAAGGTTGCCGACTCCCCTAGCCCGTCTTGCATGCCGCGGCCTCTGAGCTCAAATCGTCTTGGTGGTTGGTCCTTTCGCCCGCCCTGCACACCGCGGCCGCCAGGCCCAAATGGTCTGGGCGGTCCCTGGACAGCCCGCCTCGCCCACCCTGCGTAACGCGGCCGCCAGACCGCTGATATCCCCGAGAGTCCAAGGAGGGCATAACGAACAAGCATACAGAACAAGCGCAAATAACAGAGAGTCCCACCAGGGAAGCGTCACGATGTCAGGCCGCCCATGGAGGTTTCGAACAAGAGGAAAAAAGAGCATTTCGGTAGTACGAGCGTGCACCAAACATATACATCGAACACAGGTGTGGGGAGCATATAACATGTCATGCGCCATACTTCAAGAACCTGCACCGTTAACACGCACGAGTTACACGCATTAAGAACGTACACCACGAGCATGCGTCACAACGTTCTACCAGCAGAATGCATTGTAACAAGACGGCGGTACCATACATCATTAACGCACGCTAGCAATTAGCACCACTCATGCGCATCTAGAACATGCGTCACTACCAGACGCCACCAAGAGCATTTACCAAACACACGCACACACACGCACATCAATCGTTACAAAGAACGCACGCCTACGCTGTCCACCAACAATCTGCGTCCGTAGCCTACACTTGTACAACACACCGAACGCACACCAAGAACGGCACCACATCTATCTATATACATATATATATATATATACACAGATCACGCGCATATCAGACATCAAGAACAAGCAACAGCAGTTGCCATCAAGACCAGATCAATCGCGCACTGACATGATAAATGAACAACTCAGCATTGGGCTCGAACAGCAGCCAATGCCATACACTAGTGAATAGTTTACATCAGCAACATAGGCCATTCGTGGCAGAACTGTCAATGATATACCACAGGATGAGCACACCAATACGAAGCCAGGACAAGTAGCGATCAAGAGCACGCCAAGAGCAGACATGGAGCATACACTTATGACAGGCATTGACAACATAGTCGGCGATACACTTAAACTGCTTGATGGTGATCGCTCGGCGCTAGAAAATCTGCTGTGGATCCCAGAGCTCGAATTTTTTCCACACGTGGAAACTCTGATGGGACTCCCGATGGTGGCACCTTCAATAGATACGCTCGAGAGTAGAACATCGCCGTCTTGCTGGGAATTCTTGTTTTTGTCCCCGCAAGCGGCTCGCAGACCAGTGAGACGCCTGCAGCAAAGTGAGCCTGCCCACCAAAGGTCTGCAGCCCGAGGACTTCGAAACCAAAGAACAACTGAGCGACGCACTAAAAAGGGGCCCGTCTTCACCGACTTTGGCGCGCAAGGTCGCTGCGCCATCTCGCGTAGGGCCCGCTCTTGGTCGTCGCTCGAGTGGCCGCCGTGCCTTGTTCTCTGCGACCCGGGGAGGCTTTCGACTCTCGGACCTGTCCCGGGGCGCGTTCTGGCCTGAGCTCCTCGGGCGGCGCCCGGGCGGCCGTCTTGATCGTGCCCCCCTCGGCGTGAGGAGGCCTTGGCCTCCGCGGTCGCTCCCCCGTGCTCGGGTGCCCCCCCCTTGCCCCCGCCACGCACAGGGCGACACCGGCTGCGTGACCTTCGCCGACCTGCGGCGCGGCGCGGAGGCGGTCCCCGAGTTCAAGCAGAGGCTGCGGGTCATGGACGTGGGCCTCCGGGACCTGCAGCAGCTCTTCAGCATGATCGACGAGGACCCAGACCTCCAGCGCCCCCAACAAAATAGCACGCACGTGCTTCATTCGTTTCGACCTCTGGAGGCCGCTTCTGTCGTCACGCGGGAGCCATGTGGGGCCATTGTGAGCACTGGTGCAAGGGCTTCTTCGTCTACGCAGCAGCGTGGGCCCATCGAAATTCGCAGGCCCCGCTGAGTTCAGACATATTCGTAGCCTCAGGAGCGCGATCCAGCGTCGTTAACAGGGCATTGTGGGCCTGGAAGCGGGGACCCAGCATCATTTACTAGGGGTCGTGGCCCTGGGAGTGCGGACGCCTTGTGATGCATTCGGGATCGTAGCCCTCGGGCGTGGAGCACTTGTCGTCCGCAAGGGGTCCCGGCCGCGAGAGTGTGGGTCGAAGCGTCACTTGAGAGGGATCGTGGCGTCGGGAGCGCGGACTCCCAGGTGCCGTGGCCCCGGGAGCGCGGCGTGTAATTTGCGGGGGATCGTACAATTTTTGGGCGTGCACCTCTTGTATTTCACCAGATGCCGGGGCCAGGGGTCAAATCATCATCCGACAGGCATCCTTGTCCTCCTCCTTTTCCTACCCCTCCTCTCTCTCCCCTCCGCCGTAAGCTGCTTCGTCCACGTATGTCTACGTTCTCTTCCTCGCGCACACTTTTCGCCCGTCTCGTCCTGCCTCTAGTCGAGGGGATGTGTATGAGGAGGTGCAGAAGGCAGGTGCGCAAGAGGACGAGGAGGAAAAAGAGGAGGTCGGGCACGACAAACGATGTGTGGCCTTGCACATGTGTCGCTGGCGCAGATCGTGGCTCGAGCGAGGAGGGAGGAACAGGATGAAGAAGAGGAGGAGGAGGAGGACGACGACAACGACGACGAAGAGAAGGAGGATAAGGACGGGGGGAGGAGGAGGAGGAGGCGGAGGGGCAACAAGGCCGGAGGAGGAAGGAGTAGGTGGATGGGGCAAGGAGGCAGGAGGACATCGAGGAGAATGAAGAGGAGAAGGAGGAGGAGAGAGAAGGCGGAGAGGAGAAGGAGGAGGATGAGGAGGATAATCATGGAAAGACCGACAAGGAGGAGCGGGGGATTCGCGAGGAAAGGGAGGAGGGGGGAAGAACAGCAGGAGGAGTGAATGACGATGGGAGATGGGAAGATACACACTACGATAATGATGATGGTGCTTCTGATGGTGGTGTTGATGATGGTGCTGCGGATGCCGATACTGATGATGTTGATGATGATGGCGTTGACGATTATGGTGATGATGCTACTGATGATGATTATGATGATGATGACGATGGCGATATTGATGATGTTGATGATGATGATGGTGATGCTGTTGCTGATGATGATGATTACGATGGGGGTTGGTGGCGATGACGATCACGATGTGAATGACGTTTGTGATGCTGATGCTGATGAGGATGATGTTGATGATGCTGCCGATGGCGATGGTGGTGGTGATGATGATGACAATCACGATCACGATGACGATGATGATGACGATGATGATGATGATGATGATGATGATGACGATGGTAATGATGACGATGCCGATGATGCAAACTATGATGATGATGGTTCTGGTGGTGGTGACGATGCTGATTACCATGACGATAGTGACTATGCTGGTGACGATGCTGATGACGACGATGATGGTGATGATGATGATGCTGATGCTGATGTTGTTGATCATGATGGTGGTGGTGATGATGATGATGCTGATGATGATTGCGATGCTCATGTTCATGATCATGCTGTTGATGATGATGATGACGAGAATTGTGACGATGATGATTATGATGGTGATGCTGACGATGCTGATGATGATGACGATGACGATGCCGACGACGACGATGATTATGATCAGCATCATCATGCTGATGCTGATGCTGATGACGAGGACGAGGACGAGGATGAGTATGATGATGATGCTGATGATGATGATGATGATGATGATGCTGATGATGATGATGATGATGATGATGACGCTGATGATGGCGACGATGATACTGGTAATGATTATGCTGCTGCTGATGATGATGCTGATGATGCTGATGATGACAAGGAGGCGGAGACGGCCCACTTTCCCGACATGCACGCGCTCACTTGTTCCTCAGCCCCTGCCCCCGGCCCTGCCCAGGGTCACGACGCCCTTCGCAGACGGCCCATGAGGGGCCGACAGAGCAGCCCAACATGATCCTTGGTAGCTTCAGGCGCCGCTCGACCGCGAACAGCCTTCAAACTAACCTTCGGCATGCGCCCAATAGGCCCCTAACCTGGCTGGAGGTGGCCAGGGAGCCCCTCCTAGAATTCCCCAGCGATGCCAACATCCTAAGACAGATCGTGAGGCCAATCCCACAGCACACCATGTGGTTGTTCTTCGATGTGTTGCTTGTTTGGGCTGCCTGCGTAGAAGGGCCACATCTCATAAAAGATGTGCACCTGCATAGCGAGGAGGCTCCAGGAGAAGGATGAGGAGGAGGAGGGGGAGGAGCTGGAGGCGACGAGGAATAGGAGAGAGAGCCCCCCGCCTGTCCACCCGTCCGTTCTCCCCCGCCCGTCTCGTCCTCCTCCGTGTCCTTGTTCTTCCTCCTACTTTCCATCCGCCTCTACCTTTTCCGTTCCGTTTCGCCCGTAGCCGTTTGGTTCAAGTCTTTGTCAGAGGGGATTTGTTGCACATCAGAATTGTAATCGGCCTGTGGCGCCGACAATGGCAACTTCACTTTACGGATGCAAAAGGATGCATGTGTTGTGCGTGTTCATTCTTTCTTTCCTGACGGTGACTACCCAGCTGAGCGTGCGCTCGGACGGCGACGATGAGGGTGCAGATGACAATGTGGAGACTCTTGTGTATGAGTTGAGTTCGGAGGCTTCTTCGAGTTCGTCGGACAGGCGAGCGATGCTTCTGCACCTCGCGAGCAGGAGGAGCAGCATCAGCTCGTTGGGCACGACCGCAAGAGTGCCGAAACCTGGCCAGTGGGGTCGTGGCACGCCCCACCTCGGTCGAACGAGTCGTACCCAGGGAAGGCCAAATGGCCGCTGTTCGACACGCCGCAGGGCTCCGCCGACGACAAGACGGTCCTGAAATATTGGGCGCTGAAGCAGGCGAAGAAGACGCTCCCCGTGGCCGCCTGCGCCGGGGACTTCAAGACAGGGTCCTGCTACAAGTCGTTCACGACCGACTGGTGGTTCGGGATCTCGCAGTGGGTGTCGTGCTACCAGGAGTTCTACAACTTGTCCTCGCCGTGCGCCACCTGCATGGGCAGCGTCTACAACATGGCCAGGCACAGCATGTCGGAGAACTGCTACAATCTGTGCAAGGGCCGCCCGTCGAGGAGGGACGGCTCCCACTGGTGCTGGGAGGACTGCCAGCAGTGCGTGTGGACCGTCGGGAAGAAGCTGTCGGACTGCTACGGGGAGCCCTACGACATGACGTGCCGCTATGGCAAGGAGCTTGGCAAGGAGGGGTACTTCGCGAAGAACGGCATCGACCCCAAGCGATTAGAAGAGCGTGCCAGCCGCTCAGGGGCTAGCATGGTCGCGCTGTCCAGCCTTTTCGCCCTTGCTGCGTTTGGTGGCAAGGGAACTTGCGCATAGACAGTCAGTTTCCTCTGACTTGCGTTTGCCATAGATTTAATGCGTTCGGTTCCTTTTTCGTTTTCCTCACCTTCATCCTCATTCTCCATCCGTCTTCCTCCTCCGCCTCCTCGTCCTCCTCCTCACGCTCATCATCGCCGCCGCCATCAAGTGGTTCAGAGAATGCGGTTTAGGCCCCAGGGCGGCTCCAAGATGCCCCCCCCCCAGCACACACCATGTCCCCTGCAAGACAACCTCAGTTGGCCAAGTACTAGTCCATCATCGCCCCACGACGGCCCTAAAAGAGCCCCGGACAAGCCCAGTGTCCCAACCTTTCGTGGCCCAAGGACCTCCCCAATGCGATTTCTCCAGGACCCGTCGCCATGCGAAGACCCCCTAGGTCCCAGGATCCCCCACGGGGTCGCCCAAGAGGGCCATAGAAAACCATTCACAACTTTCCAAAATGCTCCGACAAGGGCCCCGAGAGGCAACGAGACAGGCTGAAATTGTTGTGGCGCAGCCTCCTCTAGAGCTTCTTAGATCCGTCGATAGAGGGCGGATGTGGAGGGGAAACAGGAAGAGGAGGAGGGGGGGAGGAGAAGAGCAGGGAAGGGAGTAGAATAATCACGCGCGCGCGACGGTGCGCGCGAAGCGCGCCCGTGCTTGTTTGTAAAACAACATAGAATGGGAAGTCATGGGTTTGGGCCGCAGAGGCACATGATTAGGAACACGAATAAGCAGACACATTCGAAGATGATCCGGAAGAAACAAGCCACATCCCTTAACTATCTTGACACGTACCCCCACCCTGTACAGCAGTCGCGCAGCACCCAGGTGGGAGCACGATGCGAGAGGACGATGGTTCGAGGGAGGAAGCGAAAGACCAGGATGAACAGGACGCGGATCAGGACAATGAGGAAGAGGGTGCTGATGAGGTGTTACGGGGGGACGGCTACGAACAGGAAGGAACACACGAAGACGCGGAGGAACACCACTGTGAGGGGGAGGAGACAATCCGCGGCCCGCCTCCGATTGTCCTGGGAAGCACCCCGTCTTTGCGCAGTCCTTGTGCAGAGCACGGGCGGGACCACAGTCCGAGAGGAAAAGGCCTCGTGAGTGGCATGTGGTACGGGAGCAAGAGGACGCGGATCAGGGAGCGCGGAAGACGAGGACGCACAACGGAAGGGCGGATACGAATGATAATATGCACAGGAGAAGGAACAGGAAGAGGAAAACGAGCAGCAAGGGTTTGAAGGGAACATAGGGGGAGACGAGCGCGGCAGGAAATTCTTGACGCTTCGCGTGGTAGGCCTGCTTTTGCTAGGTAATTTAGGCCCTCGCGCGGCCCGCTCGGATCTTGACACGCCGTCGGCGCGCTCGCCTGCGGCTGGCAACAAAAAGTATCCCCACCAGCCGCCGCTCACATGTGGCGGCCTTCCAATTCATCAGCCATTTTGGATTGCATCGAGGTTTCCTTCCTGGTCCTCTCGGCTACGGCTTGAACTACCAGATCTTCTGCGTCGTTTTCGCCGTCTGAGCTGCAGCGTTGCCCGCTCCTGCTGCTCAGGGCCTCATTCAGCCCGCTGCTAGACAGTTGCGCGTGTTCGGACGGCGCGCGGTTGGACCGCGACGCTCTCGAAAAAAAAAGTATCCCCAACAGCTGGCACGGCCCGCCCTACTTTTGCTTGGCTTTCGGCTTGCTTCGCGAGCCCGCGAACCAAAGAGTATCCCCACCAGCCCTTCCAGAAACGATGCCCATCAGAGCTGACGGGGGGAGAGAGGACGAGACACGCGTAGTCAAACAGCGAAGAAGGCCGGCCTGGACGGCGTGTTGGGGCCATCTCCGGGCCCGCGTGGGGGCCATTTTGAGCCAGCTTGAGCTATCTCTGGCCATCTTGGAGGTCATCTAGGTCTCTCTGAGGTCGCTCGGGTGCCTCCTGGGTGCCTCTCGGGTGCGTCTTGGAGGCCCCTTGGGGCTCGGGGCGCTCTTGGAGTCCTCTTTGGGGCCTCTTGGGAGCCCTGGGGGGGCCTCTGGGGGTCATCTTGGAGGCGATCGGTCAAAACAGGGGGGTCCTAGATCTTGCTCCTCCCCTCGGGGGCCACGATCCTCGTGAGGGGTGTGAAAAAGTGACCCTCCCAGGGGCCGGGGAAAAAAAACCCTCCGACACATCGGCCCCCACCGGAGAGAGAAAAAAAGGGAGGGGAGGGGGAGTGCTTCCCTCCCCGAAGGGAAGAGGGGTCGTGGAAGAGGAAACAGACCCTCGTTCGACCACCTGTCGCCCAGACGGCTGGTGGTATTAGCTTATGCGTGCGTCTGGGGACTCGCTTGTTTGCCGGCAGGACAGCTCCGGCGTCATCGAGTCGCACGAGTTCGTGGAGGTTCTCTACCGCCTCAAGCAGACCGACCCTTCGGTGGCCACCGTTTTTCTCAAGCACTACGTTATGGATGTGAAGAAGAAGCAAGTGCGCATGGAGAAGGGCTCAGAAATCGTTGTTCCCTCCTGCCTCCTCCTTTCTCCTGCCCTTTTCCCTGTCCTACCCTCCTCCTCTTTCACCACCTCATCCACCCCCTTCCTCTTCTGCTTATCCATCTCCTCCACCTTCTCCCCTCCCTTTTTCCTCTCACATCCGTGTTCCATCATGTTGTTTCCCCGTCTATCCTCCTTCTCCCCCCTGCAAAGCCTCCGCGTGGATGCTACTTTCCTCTCTCCCTCTCTCTCTCTCTCTCTGTTGATTATCTCTCTCTCTCTCTCTCGCCTGGTCGTAGCTAGCGGTGCCGCCGCCTCTGTCGCGCATTCCTTCTCACACGCAGGAATCCAATGTCATACGTGTTGGTCGGAGCACTCCCGGTCCTTCAGACATGGTGCATCCGCAGCAGTGTCGGCCACATGTCAGGATCGGTTCTGCGCTGCCGTCGTTCAGAATGGCGCTCGCCGCAGCGCGGGCGACAAACACATTCTGGAACCGATTTGTTTCTCTTCTCTGCCGCCCCCCTTTCCCCTCATCCGCCTCTTTACGATGCTCCTGCTCCTCCTGCTCGTTGTGTTGTTGATTATCCTCCTTCCTCGTCCTCCTTTCTCTCCTGCTCATCCTCGGGTTTATCCGCCGCCAGCTCATCCGATGTACACAGCCCTCCTTCAGCTTGCGCGTCACTCGACGGGATCGCTTGGGGGGACCAAGGTATTGTTGGACCTCGCAGTACAGAAAACACAACGCAATGAGAAGGGACGGACGGGAAGGGTAGAATGTCAGATATGGCGCCAGCAAATCTTCTATGCCACAAATTCATCTCTCCTCTTTTCTCCTCCTCCTCCTCCTCCTCCTTATCCTTCATCCTCCTCTGTAGCCATTTTGGCTCAAGGTTCTGTCTTTCCCTGCGAGACAAATGGATACCGTTAGCTCGCGGCCAGTCTTCGATTCTTTCGCGCGCAGTCCGCCCTGCACGCTTCAATTTGTTCCCTGCCACCGTTGGGCCTGCACGGAGCCAGCCGTCACGACGATTGCGGTACTCCACCCGCGGGGTTCCGACGGTCATGTCAGGCGAAGGTATTAAGCGACGCATGCCACACGCTAATCGCTGGCTGTGTCGTATTTGTGCAAATCCGAAGAATTGAGGATCCTTGGTTCAATGATGTTGACGCTGTCTCTTGCTTTCGGTGCGTGCCGCCAGAGGGACTTTGCTGCCCTCACGATGCGGGCCAGGCTAACCCCAGCAAGCATGTCGCACCCGCTGGGCCCAAGTCTACAAATGCGTCCTCCGTGCTTGCAGCCTAGGACAAGACATTGGCTGCTTTGCGCAAGCAGCTGCAGCAGCTCCAGAAGGTTAAGACTCCACAAGGCGATGCCGCCTTCCTTGTCCGAGAAGCAACGTGAGTTGGATGCGTTTGAGCTCGTCCCGGAAACGATGATTGCTGGTGCCAAGAAGGCTGGCCAGGAGCTGGCCACGGTCGAGTGTTATAAGCCGTACGAAACTCACGGCAAATAGTTACTTTCGGAGATCTTCGCTGCGTAGCCACCTGCGACCCAGGCCCACGGCGTCGCCAGCCGGATCCAGAAGTTGGACCAGACCATCTGTAAGTTGCAGCTTGCGACTGTGGCGCCGGAGAAGGACCTGGAAGGATCTGGTTGACAAACCGAAGGCCTTGGTGGACCAGAAGGTTGCTCTGCATGGGAAGCAGGTGGCACGAGAGACCTTGCGGCTGGAGGACGCCGCCGTCCTCAAGTCTACGACTCCTCCTGAAGCGGGTGCCGAGCCTGACGCAGAGGTGGTGTTTCAAGCAGTTCTACCACCTGTGGATGCACCAGGTGCTGCAACATCTTGGCGGCGGGGTGCAGTTGGAAACTTCATGCATCTAGCACGCCACACCTTGGATGCAGCATGGCAAGCAGAAGCTGGCGGAGAGGCACTCCGCGCCGCCTGTCCATCAGCCATAACCAGAGCAAACCGTACCTGCCGCAGCTGATCTATCAGTGGATGTCAGCATTGACGATGCTGACCTTACCGATCTCAGCGGGATGCCGTGTGGTTCTGGTATCGCGGCCCCCACAGAGGAATCCGACGTGCGGCTTGCGGCCAACAGAAGGCAGGACAACTTGCAGAAGCTTGCCAAGCGCCTCAAGACTGCGGGAGCGGGGCCGCATCGTCCCAGTAAGCCGTGTTTCATGGTCTATTGGCTTCCAGGGGTGATGGTGGCTCCTCATATTATGATTGCGCCCGTGTGTTCTTTTTCTTCGGCCTCCACCACCTCGTCGTCAGGCTCGGCGTCTTCGTCTGCTCTACAGGCCGATGACCTCTACTCTGCAGAGCCCGGTTCAAGACTGCCGCGCGCGGCGCTTTCCCTGAACCCTAGAGCGCGGCGACAGCGATGGGGGGCCATCAGGCGCCGCGCGGGTCGAGTCTGGTCAGGGTCGTTGCGGGGGCGCTTCGGCGTTGAGGAGGCGGGCGGCGCGCAGCGCAGTGCACGATGAGGACCGCGACCTTTTTCCCAGGACCTCGACGGGGAGCTGGGCGGCGGCGCGGC